AGGGACTAAATTACCTGTTAAAACCGAAAGCATTCGCCTCTAATTCCCACGGGTTGTCCTGCGCGTCAAGCAGTTTCCTGTTTATGCTTTTAGATCTCATTGGCTTATGAGGATCTTAATCTTTGTTCTGGTTGGTCGCTGTAATAACTTTTGTTATGGTTTTTAGACTGAAAACTGCCCCATAAATTAATTAACTAACTGACCCATTAGTTTGCTTGTTTGTTTTCAATAGCGGCAGCGGTCTCGAGGACAAGACGTGGTCTTCCCCTGAATACCTCCTTTCAGATTTCCATCCAATTGTCTCAAACACCATGGTCTGAAGATTTCTCCAATAACAAGAGTACCCAGTATATTTCTTTAGCAACGACCTTAGAGACAACCGTTCTTAATGTCATTAAAATGGTCGGGAATGGAACGGTAAAAGTCCTAGAATTCAAACCAGGAAGTGTTATTGCTGTAATCAAAGTAACTGCGTCGAATTCAGATGAAACAGCTATGAAGACTAAACTTGAGTCAGAGATGAAAGACGGACAACTCGGAAGATATTCTGTCGATCCTATTCTTTATTTAGGAAGTGTTTTTGATGTTATTCTAAAAATAAGATCTCCTTGCAATAATTCTTTACCAGATAAAGGGTTTCTTCAAAAAGATGAACTTGTCCAAACTGTGAGCAGTGAGATGTCTGGTAATGCTGACTTCCTCAATGCTAGCATCTATGGCATCGAGTGCTCTCAAGCAGACAACATCACATTGGTGACAACACGAGTTCAGATAAAGAATTCGTGGGCAACCAATCCATTTAAGGAATTGAGTGGTTTGAAGAGTCAAGTTGACGCTGGCAAGCTTGGTAGCTTTTCTGTAGTTCCTGAATGGAAATCTTACATCCCTGGAGAAAAAGTATTCTATGTACGTGTTACGCTACTGACTGCCTCTACCAATACTACGCAAACCAAACAACAACTCAAGCAGTTTGTAGAAAACGACTTCAAAGATGACAGTAACTTTAGGTATGTCCAGGTTATCATGCCGGATAGCAATCATGCCGTTATGGAGATTGGAATGCGTTCTTCGACGTCACCGATTCTTTACAAAGCACTCTCTCCTATTAGAAGCGATCTTTCTGGAGCAAATCTTGGAGGTGTCAAAGTCAATAAAAAGCAGAACAGAGTCACCATTGACATGAAATCTTTAACGCGAAAAATATTCGAAGTAAGCTTCATCAAGTATGTTCCAAGCTGTGTTTCAGCAGATCTTTCGGATACCAACAGTTCGCATTACAAAGAACTCGGCCAAAAATTTACCCAGTTTATAGAAACCAATATGAAAGCTCATGCGCTCAACAGCAAGTTTTACTTGAGTAATAAGGTGATAAAACTGCAATGTATAAATTCTACATCAGTCAAAGGCTATAGTTACGTGTACATGAAACCCAGCACTGAAGATAAGATAGCAAATTTAAACGGGGCTTTGTACAAGTGTAGCACAGAGCGCGGTATTTACGACAATGGATTGAAAATATCTCTTAGAACTCCAACATCGCCAGAGGCAAAGGGAACGTGGTCTTGGTCCCTAGACGGCGTGTCGTTAACTCGTGGCTCTTGTTTAAGGCCAAAGCCGACCAACCCGACTAATGGACCTGCACCAACTACCGGAAGTACGACCACAGGCAAACCAAGTACTGCCCATACATCAGGTAAACCAAGTACTACCCAAACTGCTGGTAAGCAAACTACAGCCCAAACCACGAGCAAGCCATCAACCACACCTTACTACCCTAGCACTAAGCCTCAAGATTCCACAACCACTAAAGCCTCTGTTAAGTCAGAATCCACAGTCCCACCAACCACCGAAATCACACTTCCCACGTTACCCTCAGAAATAGTGTTATACGCCAAGGTGAAGCTCGAAATGACATGGGAAGAATTCTGCTCAAAGCAGGATTCTTTCAAGGAGATCATTGCGTGGACCGTGCGCGATAAAAACGACTCCAGGATCTCTTCCGACAGAATAATTTATGTCAATATGGAGCGAAACTGTGCGGACCCAAGAAAAAGGGAAACACAAGCCGAGGTGTGGTTGTACGTGTCTGAGCTGGACTCCACAAAAATTAACGAATATCTCACTTTCAAGCTTTACAGCCTTTTTAAAATGTTCTTTGACAACGGAAACACCAAACAGCTGGGATCGGAGTTTGAAGAAAAGGTATTTCTCAAAGTAATTTTGTTATCTTCGAAGACAAAAAAGCTGTGTCCACCAAAGGAGGCAGAGCAGATATCTCAACTCTATATACTCTCACAACCTCTTCTCTCCTTTCCTTACAGTGGCGGAAGGGGAAGTGGGTCAGTGGATAAATTCCTTTTTTAAAACTCAGATTAAACTTATCTTTTTTATGGTTTATAAAGAAATGTTGGAAATGTGGCAGATTATTGTTTTGAAACTTGGTTTGTTCTCTACAAGCTGAACGTTGGGGAATCCTCGCTCTTAACGAACTGTCTTGACTTTACCAGCCGAGCTCATTATTATGTTTATCATTATTATTTCTTTTCGTATCATTTTACAGGTTTTGCATGTAGAATTAGGTGGAAGTCATGCCGCTCAATACGAAAAGGATTCAGATTGTAAATGGCCGTTGTGGCTGCTAATACTTCTAGCCGTGGCTGGAGCCATAGGATTGTTTCTTATGATACTGGCATGTTGTTGTGTAAGTTAAGTTTCATTTATTTACCCATTTATTAGTTAAGTTTTTTATCCATTTTTTATTTCTTCAATTTATTCAATTATATCACTGTTGGCTTTAATCAGATCTTTTCTAAAATATTCAGACTGCTCCTCCAAAATGTGAAAATGAGTCTTCTTTTTTGTCATCTGATGAAGCGTTTACACTAATTCTCCAACGAATAGTTATGAGGAAAAAATTTGGTTTTTTTTGGACGTATTGTTTCCATTACAGCTATTTTGCTGCGGGGGAAGACGGCTTAGGAGAAGGCGGAAGTATGATTCGGAACAGCCTCAAGCACTTGTGGTTGTCCATGTTGATGGCAATGGATCTGCGCGCTATGAACAGAAAAATGGCAAGCACAACAACTCTGAAGTCAGCACTACGAATAAGCAAAGTGGTGATGAAAGAAACCTTAAGGGTGTTAGCGAAAAAGAGGGATATTACAACGATGGGTTCGATTCTGATGCAAAAAACAAGGTAACTACTCATGAATGCAAAACTTGCAAGGGCCGCTGTTATTATTGCTATCAAGCTCCTTCCGCAAGTGAGGGTTAAGATTGGTTCTGATCCTTTGAGATTGTAACGAATTTAACTTATGATAGAAGTGAACTAGCTCAACAATCTAACAAGATTAAGCAGAACTAAACAGCAGTAAACAACAAAGAGATTAAAACATTGTTCCTTAGCAGTAGCAGTAGTATACAACGAATACCGTTTTTGATATATTTGCTACTTATCTTACATCTTTTTTTATTTTATGTTAAGAGAAACAAAAACAAAAACAAGAACAAAGAAATACTTCAGAAAATATTAAATCTTTGTCCTTTCCTCCGGAATAACACAGAATCACGATGGGAATGACAACCGCTCCAATAATGAAGGAGAGGAAGGCAAGTCACCTCAAAACATAACCAAAAGACTCAGTGATGGCTCTGAAAATACTTACCAATCCTTGGACAAGGCTGATGATCTCGGAGATTACACTTACCAAGCGATTGACAAGTCCGGGAGAACAACCACAGGCCAAAGTGATGACGACAAAAACAACAATCCACGCGCAACATTGGCTCATTCGTCCGCTGACGGTATCCAAATCCTAAAAAGTGGTGATAATGGTTCTTCGAATATCAATTCTCGGCAAGCTGGTTTCAACGCATCACATGGGGCTGAAGTGATTCATTTCCCTTCCACAGGGAGCGAGAAGGTCACAGCGAAAACTGATGATGGAAAGAGTAGAAGTGATGGCTCCCCAGATCTCAGTTCTCGGCGAGTTGGTAACAACGTAACACATGTGGCTACAGTGATGGCCACTCCTTCCACCGGAGGTGATAGGGTCACACCGAGAGTTAGCGATGGAATGGGAAAAAGTGATGGTTCTTCAGATCTCATTTCACAGCGATCTGGTAGCTACATGTATGCTGCGCATGTTACTACAGTTACTACAACTTCCACCGGAAGTGATAAGGTCACAGCGAGTGGCAGTGATGGAAAGGGTGAAAGTTATGATTCTTCAGATCTCAATTCTCGGCGAGCTGGTAGCTACATGTACGCAGCGCATGTTACTTCAGTTACTACTTCTTACAGCGGAGCAGATAAAGTCTCAGGAAGCGGTGGTGATGGATCGAACAAAAGTGGTGGTTATTCAGATATCAATTCCTCTCGCGTTGGTTACAAGAAGGTTAGGAAGATAGCTAATGAATGCAACATTATGCAACATTCACCAAGGCACGGGAATAATCTAGTCAGAGCTAGCAATGCTTAGTTTTCCTTTGAAGTTTCTGAATTTTGTCAGTATTTTTCTTTTGCCTTGAACGTCAAACAAGATTCGTTTCGTATCAGCATTTTTTATAAATGATAATTGATATTTCTTTTACGTCTATTGCCTCGAATTTTTTAGCTACTGCCGATGAAACGAAAGCATTATATAAAGTTAACAAGCCAAAGGAAATACTCTAAAGAAAACGCTACATTCCTTTTAGGACACGATAAAAACCAGTGCTCCCGGATCAGGCGGAGGGAGCAAGGGGACCGGAGCGAGTGCAGATGATAACAAGAATAAGACTGCCGATGGTTCAAAGCCAGATGTCATTTCTTCCCGGGCTGGTAAAAACGGAGAGGTAAGGAAAATTAATTCAGGACGTGTTATTAATTATGGCTCTTGTCATTTGCAAAGACTGATTGACCAGCTTCCCTTTGCGGGACAGCAAAAGAAAAATCCCTTCGTATTTGAAAGAAGTAACATGGGATTTAAAGTAGAGAACATAACAAACAATACCACCTTAATGAAAACTTGAAAACGTATATTAATTACATTTCAGCGGTCTGATTCAATATCTTTCTTCACGTTATTTTTTTACAGAGTCAAGAGGGTCTTAATGGATCCAAGGAAAGTCCGACTTTGTTTCTTAAAACAGACACCAGTCCAAAAGACGGTGGAAGGAGGGGTTCGCGTGTCCGCGCATCTATCGATGAAGACGTACCGCTGACTCATAAAACGGGAACCGTCGGCATTGTGGCTCTGGCGATCAGGAACAAGAATGAGACGAAGAAGGAGAGAGAATTTAAGGTAAGAAAATGTATGCAGGATATGAACACTAATCGAATTGATGAAGTAATTTATTTCGAGCCTTTGCTTTCCCCGACTTTGCAGAACCTGGACAAAGACGTTCCTAAGGAAGACGTGAAGTATCCCCCAGATACTGCCAAAAAAAACAGATCGCCAGAGGTCCTGCCAGGTGGGTTCAGTATTCAGCGCTTTTAACTGTCCTTGCTTTATCATTTATAACTTATCGTTTGGAACGTCTTCTTTTGAAGCACCAAGAACTCGTGTCAAGTTATCAACTTCACCAGACTATATCAACGCTAACTGGATCAGGGTAAGAGATAGTGACATAAAATATCATTCAAATTCCGAGATTTTCAATCGATTGAATATCGACTAATCAATAGTTTGTCGATTATTGTTGCCGGAGCAAGAAAAATGTTTTAAAGAAGTCAGACGAGCGAATGTGATTGTATATTGATCTTGAAATATTTTTTTGGCGAATTGTTATTCTTTTTTGCTTAATATTTACTCCATCGTCTTATTCGCTTTCCTTGAAGGACCATAAAGGGCAAGTCTGCTACATTGCTACCCAGCATCCCATGACAGAAACTGTCAGGGATTTTTGGCAAATGGTCTGGGACCAAAGAGTTCAAACGGTTGTTATGGTAAACGACGAAGAAAAAGAGAAAACGGTGAGACTGATTGTCACTGACAATGAATCATGATCAGGCTGTCGATAATTGGATAGTTTCACTAGCAACATTTGATGCCAAATCAAAAACTACAATCACTCTTTAATAGCACAGAACTGTAATACCGACCTTCTCCGTGTCGGATTTGTGTTAACAAGATTAAGTTTTTCATATCCTCCATAGGCTGAATTTGTGGATTACCTTCCGAAAGGAGAAGGGATCTCTAAGCAGTTTGGCGGTTTCAACGTTACAGTAAAACAGATAAATGAAAAACCGGATTTTGTCGAGACTGTTTTGAGCATTGCCGATGGCAAGGTAAGAAAACGCTTTTCTTTTTTTTTACCCCATGTATTTTTCTTTTTTCCCCGTTGTACAGAGCCTAAAAACTACCAACTGAACGTACTTTTTTTGTTTATCCACGTTATAGAATGTTGCCTCTTCACGCGAGGTTACACACTTGAAATTCACTTCGTGGAAAGAACGCGCTATGCCTAATGTGGCTCTGTTTGTTGGGTTCGTGACTGCCACGCAGGAAGCGAGGAAGAAATATGGCGACACCAAGGCTCCAACCCTTGTACACTGCAGGTTGGTATTCGCAATGACATGAAATTCAACCATGATAATTACGTAGCTTTTCGCTGTCTGGAAAAGATCTTAGAGACATTAAAAGGAAACTGCATTGAGGATCTGTCGACTTGTGGTAAAAAAAAAGATGATTGGAGCGAGGGGTGTCCACGTACCTGACGATTGTAGCCAGAGCAAATATTTCTCACATGCATTTTCTCATGTTTCAAGTTTGAGATGCTTTTAGCGATTTTCGATTTAGGATCGTAAAAACCGAATACCAAAATAATTTCGGCGACCAGTTACGACACAGAAAATCCTTGCAGGGAGCAATCAGAACTTATAAGATGAATGCACGTAACCGTTCTAAGGCACAAGAACCTGTTTACGATTAGTTACATTACTTTGAATGTGATCCCTTAGTTTCTGGGACCACCAAGCAAAGAGATCGAGGTGAAACACAAACCATGCGATTTTGCTTTTCTCTCAGCGCTCATTCAGAAATTGGTCTTGACTAATGGGACTAAACAAAATTATGCTTATCGTTCTTTCAGTGATGGCCTGGGCTTCACTGGTGTGTATATTGCTGTGGATATCGGCGTTAAAAGTCACGAAGAAAGTAAAACATCAGTTGTTGATGTGTTTGAGTTGTCCAAGAACCTCAGACGGGATCGCCATGGCATTGTTTGTACCTTGGAGCACTATAACTTCATTTACCAGGTGAGAAAAAAACTACAACAACGTTTTTTATCGCTAGTTATTGAGGGGAGTGAGAATAGAAGCATACCTTAAAGAAAGCTACGAGTTGAGTTCATCCTCTTGAGTTCTCTGCAACAAGGCGTTTTACTTTTGCTCTGCCCCTCTCGGACAGGAGTTTAAATAGTTATAACACTAGCAAATCGACAAATTGAGGAGGATTCTCTTTGTGCTTTACTTTTGCGCATCGTTAGTCTACAGAATAGTTTAGTGATAAGAGGAAATGAAAAAGTCCTCCTTACGATAATTTGTGCAATGACGATTGTGAGCACTAGTTTTTGAATTACGCAGGGAAGCTGCGGTTTAAGCTAATGAATGCATTTCTTTTTTTCAGGCTCTCTACGAGTACACTGTGAACTACGACAAGTCAGCTGAGGTAAGCTGTTTTGCCATAATAGCAACGTGTGCCACTTGACTAAACAGTCAGTTGTAGGACTTATCGAATCTTTTTTAAAGAATTTAAACCGTTTCCCCCAAAGGAGAAACATTGCCTTACTAACACTGAGAAATTATGTTCGATATGTTGTCAGGAATTTTACGTCATTTGATGAGTCCCTACCGTCGTAATCTAGTGAGAGCGTTTTCAAAAAGGTTTAACAGCCTTTGATGTCAAATTTCTTCGATTTAATTTAATATTCATTTCGGTTCAGGATGAGTACGTTTTCTCGTGTTTTTCTAATTCTTTACCCTATTAATTGTTTGTTTTTCTTTTTTTCCTTTTATAGTAAGGCTTTGGATCTGAACTGTTGGGTTGGAAAAGAACTGAAAACTAATAGTTTCATCCTCCAAACTGACGTAACAGTTCAATTTAAAGACACGGCACAAATATATAAGAAAGATACAGTAGCATTCAATTCATAGAGAAACATTTCCGTAAGTTTTTCAAGTTTGATTGACCAATCGCCTAAATTGCACATGAGTCCATTTTGTCTTTAAAACTTCATGAAAAACCATGAAAATGTTTTTAAAATTACGCATGACATGATGACCAGGTAGTGTCTGCACATTATTATTTTTTTTTCTTTTTGATGCATACAGTATTTTTATCATTTAGTTTTCTCCGCTATTCTGCTATTTGGCATCAGCATGTGTGTAGAGAATGGGTCGTTTCTAAATAATCCTCTCGCTGCATTATACAAACCTGCGCGGTTAGACCAGGTTCTCAATAGTAGTTCTTAGAGTCATGCTGATTGAAATCACTATTCTTCGAGGCAGAAAGATTGTAAAGTACTATGCCGTGAAACTGCTCGCTTTGTATATCTGCATGACATAATTAAGACAAGATTTTTGATGCTTGTAAATAGTAAACTTTTTTCATTAAAACTATTTCGATAATGGAGCTTTGAGTAATTGTTTATGCCTTCCTAACCCGATTCCTCCCCTGCTTGTTCTGACAGATTTCTAAGTCGAGTTATGTACGGCCATAATTACAATTAAAACGAGCCGGCGGAACAAATATTTACAAATGCCGGGCATCTCGACAGAAACAACATCATTCGATACCTACACGTCGGTCTTTCTTGGACATGCCTAGACATAACTTGTCTTCTAATTGGGTCACAATCTTTACAGTAATTACGATTTTGCGGAATTATTTCAAAGATCTACTTGCATGCATAAGGTAAGACTTTGCTTTCAAACTTTGCTTGAAGGCATTCATAAAGACTTTGTCAGTGAGCCGGTTGGTAACGGGGAGTAATTATGATAGCAGGGGGCGATAAAGGATGAGGGTTTGTTATGACTACATCTGTGCTGTACGCTTTCCTCTAATTTTTTTTTTTTATGCGCTACGAACAGGCTAAAACTAGATATCCGAAACAGTATAAAGATCTAATGTAGAGAAAAACTAACTTGACTCCATTGAGTGGAGTGTAAGTGGAGCAAGTTGAGAAACCGGCTGTAGGAGGGAACGAAATAAAAAATGTAAACTTTTCACACTCAGTCAGTCTACGCAGTTTTATTTCTTATCGGATATCTCTCGGTTAGATGTTTAGAAAAACTGGCTAATATTAAATCGTCTCCCGTGCGTTAAAAGGTTTTAACATCCGCGACCTTTCTAGAAGAATATTTTTACACATCAATTATCGCACCCACAATACCAAGGGTTGCTTTGGTAAACAGAACACAGTAAATTAATTATGCAGGCAATTGTTTTTGTTAAAGCAAAGTAAACTCACTATCTCTGACAAAAAGTGTAGGCACTTCAGCTTTTGCACCCCGTGAGCTTGCAAAGGGAACGGAACTCTTGAAGAAGAAAAGGAATTCTACTTGAAAGTTGCCGCGAGGTAAGATATCTCGGTGCGTCTTATAATCAAAAAAAGAAAAAGATT